CAGGGGCAAAAAGGAAAGTCTCCCTTAGTCCGCAGACCTAAGGGGTCTCTTAGGCATAATTTAGACCCACCCCTCAAGAAGTCTCCCACACCGGTCACAAAGGAGAACTTTATTGATTACAGGGGTAGGGTGAAAGTAGGGTACAAGATTGAGCAATATCCTAGAAATCCTAAAGAGCAAACAGTCTGGCTGAGGTAGCCTTTTTATCATGCATCTGAGTAACTGCCAGCTAGATATCTAATCAGATCTCGAGTAGCTTACTCACAAGCATCTTGCAAAGGCTGGTGAAGTTTCCCTTTGGAGGCAGGCAGTTCCTTGCTCATGAGTTATGGGGGAGAGAGCCAGTTTCAGATGGTAAAACTTCTCTGAGTCCCCCACATGGCTGCTGCCCCCTCCTCCTGGGCAGTCTAAACTTATATAGCCCCTGTGACCTCATTCACCTGGTCCAGTGGAGGCCAGCTCTGGTTGGCTGTCGGCCAACCAATTTGAAATACATCACCAGTTGCCAGGCAGATTCCATCCCACCAGGTAGAAACCCCTCACCCAGGTAGCTGATGCCAGTCACATAGGCAGAGGGAGCAGGTTTCCCCCCTCCCTCAGGAATGCAGCCAGCTCAAGTTACCTAAAGAGACAGGCTGAGGTGTGACTCCTCTGTGCTGGGCCCATCTTAATCACATTGTCACAGGGCAGAGACTTTGGGGAGAAACCAAGGTGGCTTTCTGCCACACGCCCCACTGGCCAACATCCTGAGGGGCTGTGGCTACGACGTGACGGTCGACACGCTCATCGTGGGAACTCTTGGAGCCTGGGACCCCAGCAACAAGAGCGTCCTGCCTGCCGTGTCTCCTGCTGCTACACCAAGCTGATGCGCTGCCTCATGGTGTCCAACACCATCCGCTGGTCCCATGACATCTATGTGGAACACATCATGGGCCACTGCCAGTACTGCGACCCCACCAGACGAACCGCCGCCGGACTGGACCCAGAGGGGACCGCCTGAACTGCCCCACCGTTGCACCAGATGGACTTCACTGAGAGAGGATTCTTCAGCAACGGATGACCCCGCTCCACCTGAAGAGGACCCCTGCGATGAGACTCTATATGGACTGAGACACTTTCTTTGAACTACTTCCTCCACCATTGTGGACCATTGTAATGGGTTTGTGTGCATCTATCTCCTTTCTCTCTCACTGTCATACACTCCATCCGTCCTCTTCCCACATCCCCCCTTTCACCACCCCCAGGCTCAGTTGGCTAACATTGTATTTTCTGTAACCTAGTTGCATTCCCCTCCTCACCCCCATCCCTCTAATGTTAGTCCCTCGCTCGGGTGATTTGTATTTCCCTACCAGCTTTGTCATCTTTTGTGGATTCACAATCCTAAACATATACTAATAAAAGTCAATCTGTTGTGTTTAACCAGTAAATCAAGAAAATTTATCAGACTTCAAATAAAGCAAAACAGTGCCATAACAGAGATGCATGAAGGACAACATCATAGGAACAAACCTGGACCAAACAAAGGGAGCCTTTCTGACAATAAATAGAACACAGGGAGTTTCTCACATACAGCACAAGCATCAATATCAGATCTAAGTTATTTACACATGCCTTATTTCCATGATTTCTACTATTCACTGTTCATCTTCATTGTTAGTACCTGGACTGGTTCTTCTCTTCTTACAGGAGTCTCTTTGGAATCAGACTGGTTCCCAGCTTTACCTTCTTTCACAAGGTAGGTTTTGTCTTGTATTTTTTGATTCTCCTAATGGTCATGTTTGCAAAATAGTCATTTAGTTACTGGATAAATTGAATGTTAATGTCAAATGATCATTTCTAGTACTTTGTGTGTGGGTTTTCTTACCTGCGGGGCTCCTGCTCTACACTGAAGTTCCTTTACATCATTGTGGTATTGTTGCCTAATTTTCTGCAACTGCTGAAGGTATTCCTGTTAAACAGCACCTCAATTAGATTATGAATTTCTGTTATTAGACAAAACAATTTTAATTACATGCAAATATATGCCTACTAATAAATGGACTGGTAGCCCCAGCTATTATTAAGATCATCTGATACTTTCCATTACAAGACCCTATTTTCAGTTGCTTATAACTTAGTTCAAGGCAGTCCAACTTCTGGCAACATGCCACAGACTCAGGAGCCACACGCTGTGGGTACCCCCTCCTACTCCTCCACCAGCATTACCCCCATACAGTGCAAGCAGTCTGGCTTGAACCCCCTCCCAACCACATGCACCATGGGGGGCTGACCAATCCCACCCCATTGTGCACACAATGCCACCCCATCTCCCAGCCATGTGAGCCATGTGGGTAGGCTCCCCACCTTCCCCTCAATGCAAGCAGCCCAGCTTCCCATGCACAGCCACAAGGGAGATGGTTGCTGCATGCACAGCAGGCAGAGAGAGGGAGTTTGGTTGCCCAACACCCCCCACCCTGGACTGCGCACAGCCCAGCTCCCCATTCCCCAGCTGTGTGCACCACACAGGCTGCCCCAGCACAGGCAGCAATGTGCCCCACTCCCTCCACCCACCTGTAGTACAAACCATCTCCCTTCTTTGACAAGTGTGCAGCTCTGGCACTCCAGCTTCCTCCCAGCTACCACAACAGGAGCAAATGGGAAGGGGTAATAATGGGCAGGTGGGAGCCCATAGGTTGCATGCTACCCCTTCAGGGACCACATGTGGCCTGCAGACCACCAGCTGATCAGCCCTGCCTTAGTCAAATTTTGGTTGAAATTTCCCATGCCAGATGTTTGCAGCAGAATGTTTAGAAGGTTTTAGACAACATGTTCAGCCATATCCAAAAATACAGCTAGGGACTGGCTGGGCATTGGCTGTAGGACTACACCTGCTCTACAGGGGCTGCTGCTGCTTTAACTGCAGTTGCAGAGCTAAAGCCATGGAGAACCCTTGTGTAAAGAGTGCTTTGCTGACAGTTTTTCTGGTACCAGAGTCACAACAGCTTTCCCACATGGCAGAAGCTCTGTTAGCAAGAGCTGCATTCATCCTGATGCTTTGTCTTTTCACATCTAGCCAACAGGGCTCTGTCACCAGAACTTTACAATGTAAAGGCTCAAACTGGGATGGTAGAGCCAAGGGTGGAAACAGGCTGGCTACTAGGCAGGAGCATGGTAGTAGGGTAGAGACAGTAGGGTAACCCACATTAACATTTCAGAGAAAGGACTTGAAATTTGAAAAAGGAATAACCCTTGTGTGAGAGATATACCCTTCGCTTTGATCATGGAAATTTACTTAAGTTTGGCTTCACAAAATCTAACTTCACACCTGGACAGCTGACTTTGTGGAGTTTAACAGCTAAAGGCTCCAAAGTTTCTGAGCACAGGAAGCATGCTACAGCCCTTCACAGGTCTTGTGCTGACCAGACTGCACGCATGCCATTCCCATTAAGCGTGCTCCACATACAATGGGGTTACACAGGCAAAACAAGATTTTTTTCTGTAACTGCTACTCATAGTTAAATGGGGCTGGATACACTCCAGGATTAGAACTAAAAGCTGTGGGTCAGGCTCTAGTTCAAGGCTCCCCTGGCAGTGTGGAAGAGGAAGCACATGTTTTAAAGGCAGGAAGAACAAGAGCCAGACTTGGGAGAAAGAAAGAAAGAAAGTATGACGAGGAATCTGGTTGACTGGGAGGAAAGAAGTTGTGACTGGAGGTTGGGTGGAGACTCATCTTGGAAGACTGGAACCGACTGAACAAGGCAAATGACACTGAAAGCTCTGGGGGCAGCTCTGACTGGTAGGGAAAGGAAGTAGAATGAGACCCAAAAGAAACTAGGACTCAAAACCGAAGAGAGAAATACTGAGAATAGAGGAGGACATAAGGGATTGTGGGGAGACTTGGACAAAGAGCTGAAGAAGAAAGGGATGAGACTAAGATGGAAGAAAGAATTTAGAGGCTTGGACTGGGAGGTAATAGATTGGGAGAAAGACAGGCAGAGGACTAGAAACTGGAAAAAGGAGGAAAATTAGAGGTCTGACATCAGATCAGCACCAATATAAAGAAAATTGTCTGTATCGGAAATTGGCCTAATGCAGCCAATAATTTGGCCGATAAATGCCATGCATATGCACAGCTGCAATGCAACACACAGGCAGCGTGGAGCACAGCCCAGCAGCATGGAGAGCTGCATACAGCCAGTAAGTCTGTTGTGGTGGAAGGGGATGGGGGAAGGAAGGGGCACAGAGAGGGCAGATCAACACCCCCCGCAGTGAGGGAGGGCAGGGGCTGGGACAGGCACTGGCCAGCTGGGGTGGGGAGGTGCACAGGACAGAGCCATGGCTCATCCAGGGGGCACAGAGGGGGGATTACCCCCCCGGATCTGTGTAGCATGGGGCAGGCAGACTGCAGCTGCAGGCTGGAGCTGGGGCTACACCAGGCTCTCCTCAGTAGGGGCTGGGCTTGAGGCAGGTGGCAGCATGCTAGGAGGGGTCTATGGGGGTGGG